AGAAAATTAAGTTTTTTCAACTTTCGAGTCCCATAACTTTGCAACGAAAGGACGTATCGAGTAGAAAATTTTTGTGGAAGTGGGCAAAGTACTAGGCAAAGCACAGGAAAAAATTTGCTCAAGCGAGTGAGAAAGTTACGTTTCTCTCATATAAACCTACTATATGTGGTGAGCTAACTAGAACTAGAAAAGCTCTTCAATTATTGATGTGTATATATTTCAACAGTAATCTATATACAAACTATTCACTAAAAACCTATAGTGTATGATAATTCGCTACATTTGTCTGATTTCACATAGACATCATTTTGAATTAAAATTTTAATTAAATATTAGGCAAAATTCTTGTTTTTTGCCATTATTTTTGACAACTATTCTTACGACAGAACCGATTTGACAGTTAAATCGGTTCTAAAATCAGTCTCAGGAGACCTATAGACAATTGCCATGATCATATTCGGAATTAGCATAGTCGATAACCTATAACCCACTAGATCTCATTGAAAAAACGATTTGACAGTTAAATCGGTTCCCCCCTCAAAAGAAAAGTACAGAGAACGAATACGACTTTCAGCTTGTTTATCATCAACGTTGAGATTTTACAGTATCAAAGGTAGAGACGATATAAACAAGGCAGAGTTAGAAACGAACCGGTAAACCGGCATCCTAACCGGTCCGATTGACACCGGTTTTTTATCGGTTGAGACCGAAGAATTGGTCACTGGTTTACCATGAAAGTTGTTCACGAAATGTCATTTTTCAGCTCGGGAAAAATCTTTTCGTACTACATTCTAAGAACTGGTTTTAGTGAGTTGTTTCTGTTCGACTCTGTTTCAAGAAAAAAAGTTAGTTTCCAGCTACCTTTTTGCGAAATCGTTGCCAGTTTTCTATCGGTTAAAAAATTTTAAGGAACCGGCCGGTTTTCAGCGGCTTAGGTGTGTTTTTAACCGGCGCTTAATCGGCCGGTCCGGTTGAATAAAACTCGACCGGTTCCAACTCTGAGACAAGGGCACTATAAAATCTTGAAGTCATCTGACAGCTGATTATCAGTAGTTTTCATTTTAATACTTACTCGATCATCTGATGAATGTCGAATATGTGCATCCTTTGTTATCAACTGGATACTTGTCAATTGAATATTGGTCTCGTGAAAATAGGTCCAATTCATATGTGTTACATCCTAAAAGGCGAGAAATAAAAATGATTATTTTCTTATTGCTATTTACAAACAAGACATCTCTATTAAAACATACCGGTGAAGTTGTTACAATATGATAATAAGTACTAATAAGCCCTAATTTTTGTGCCTTTAATGATGATAACAAATATTTATTGTAATTAAAAAATAATTAACCAAAACTCTGAATTTTTTTGTTCGTGCTGATTACTCACATCATAAAGAAACTTTGTTAATGTTTTTCCACTAACAGCTAACAATAATTTTTTCCCATATTCTTTTGATCGTAGTTGTTTTAAAATATTCTCTGTTTGATTCACTGAATTTAATGAACTTTTTAAAATAGCTTTTAATGCAATGGCCGGACGACGACCATTACGAGTTTGCATTAGTTCTCTTAATAAATCCAAACCTAAATATAGAAAATAATTTTGTAGTGATACTCTTCATTATTAATTATTTATATTACTCGAATGTTTTTCATATAAAAATATAATTTTATCCCATTGAAAATAATCGGTTAATTGTCTTAATGCCACACTTATCATTGTTAAACTTGGTTGCATTTGTAATGTATAAGGAGAATAATTTTTGTAATCACGTGGTATATTCAAATTCAAATGTGGAATATGCATTTGAGATAATAATTGATGTAAAAGTATACCATCATTATGTTGAAAATGAGTCATAAATATGACGTAGCCACTGTTGGTTAATATAAAACATACTAGAAAAGTATAGAGAATAGAATAACATTAATCGTAATCAATTAGAGTTTACATTTTTTTAAAAGTTTAAACTCTTCATATGGATAATATGTGATAGTTTCTACTTGAAGATGTTGATTAATTAATTGAGAATCTTTTGTTGTCTGAAACCACCAATGTTTATAATAAGTTATTAACGATTGAATATAATGATCTAATATTGTATTTTCATAATCGAGACACACAACTAAACAAAATGGAGGAAATAAAAAATTTACATTCTTCAACTATCCACAAAAACGATCGCATAGAACTTGGAAGCGAAATTTCTACATATTGAACTGATGTTACTGGTGCACAACTTTATACTGTAGTCAAAATAATTAATACAGTTTCGATCAGACATATTTGAATGTTTGTTACTACTCTTTAATCAATTTCTTAACTCTATTTTGATTTATTGGTTTTGTTACAGTTAGGAATATGTGAT